TGTGGCACCCCTGGACTGGTGTCATGGCACCAACTTTGAGAAACCCTGGTTAAGTGCACTGAAATATAGAAGTGAACATTCCTCCAGCCTATGCGTACTGTGTACCGTTTAATGCACTAATATACAGCACTTGAAGAAAAAGTACACATGATTTGTAAAAAAAAAAAAAGAAAACAAAAAAGGGAACACACAAAATACCTGTTTTATTTGCTTTTATTTTGCACTACAAATGCATAAATTGTTTTGTTAACCAAAAATGCACAATGCTCTACGGCACTTTTGTGAACCCATTTTCTTGCATTGTTTGTTTACAATACATTTCACTTTTATATAATAAATGTTCATTAAGAATACTGCAGTCTGCAAGTACGGTTTTTAGTTTTTCTTTACAAATACATTGCATGTACAAAGACAAGACACTAAAAGGGTGGCTATACAATATTCCTGTTTTGTTTTGTTACAGTATTGACAGTGGTGGATTAAGTACTCAGTCCAGTAATTGCGTCAAAGTATAGATACTCTTAGGGAAATATTACCCAACTACAAGTTCAAGGTACAAGGTTGCTTAGTCAAATTTGTACTCGAGTCCAATATCTCAGTGACACTTAAGTGGAATTATGGGTGGCTGTAAGTTAATAAGCGCTGCCACAACAACAACAATGTCATCAAAAATATCGAACATGTCTAATGGGAGTTCAGATTTCATGATGTCAAAATCCTTAATCCTGCCAATAACACGTTCAATGTGTATTCGAGCATTAGCAACTTGTTTGGTTCTCCTGTCGTCAGCATCTGAAAACTGCTTTTTGGATTTCAAGAATGGAGGGATTACAAGGCTCACTCCTTTGTCTAGAAGTAGCTCTTGGATGTTGAACCCTCTGTCTGCAAGCAGGATATCACCCCTTTCTACCATGTCAATGATACCTGACCTCTTGACAATTTCCTTGTCACTCATGCATCCCCCTGCAGATTTTGATACAAAAGACACCGTTCCTGCTGGTGTACATGCCACCAAAACCTTAGCAGTAGGTCTTCCCTTGTATTGTGAGTATATCTGGCTATTGGCTTTTGCCAGTGAAGGCCTCTGTATGGGTATCTCAGTGCAGTCTATGATGGCACGCACATACTTGTACTTTTTGAAGCACTCAGGGTAGTAAAGGTGTATCTGCTCTTGTGTAGGCCAATAGAGAAGCGGCCGTAATTCTTTTGCGAGCAGAGCCAGCCATGTAGAAATAATCTGAGATACAACACTGGTGCAGATTTTAAAAAGATAGGCAAGAAACTTGAGAGACAAATTGAGCTTCAGTTTCATCAAAGTTAACAAAAGTTCATTCTCATGGGACAATTTTCTCTGCGGCCCTGGCTTTTTTTCTGCAACAATCTGGTACCTCTTTACTTTTTGAGACTGCGCACCTTTGAAATAATGTATTGAGGGCAGTTTTGACCGCACCTCATTAAACATCCACTGGAAGATGGCTTTGTTTTTTATGTCTGTGTGCAGATGCATCAATTCATCTGAATGCTTGATGGCAGAAATATCATAAAGTACTGGGAATGACTGTTTCTCATGTGATAACATTCTCTCAAAGTCATCTCTCTCATGCAACAGTTCTTCCTGAATGTCTCTGTCAGATAAGATTCCATCTCTCTCTCCTGCACAACATGCTTTGATTTCATCTGGCACTTTTCACAAACACAGGAACATGTGCAGGCACTTGCTGGCTTAAAACAGTAATTGTGCTGCTCCTGCAGGTCAGAGGTGCTGTATGATGGTGATTTGTATGGTGATGATTTGTATGGTGACTGGGATGTTAATGGCTGTGAAGCATACTCAAACCCAACACTTGGTACAGTGTCATGATGATCACTGTAGCTGTGGTCACCTGACACTGGGCTGACTGGAGTGTGACTGGTGGCTTCCTCACTGGGTCCTGGGGACTGACTGGAAGCTTCATCCTCGAGGTCTGTTCTTCTCTTTTTTTGTGGGAACGTCCTCAGCACTCTTTTTCTTCACCTTTACAATCAGAAAGACTTTATTATCACACCTTAAAAATACTTCACAATAAAAACATTGCAAAGGGTCAAATTCATTTTCCTTGGACCCTCATACTAACAGGTCAATATAAAACAGAAACAACAAATGACAAAATAACTATAAGAATGCATTAACAACACGTTAATAAAAAGCAGAGATAGCCTACGGTCTGCTTAGATTTAAAACCTACCTTACCATGCCTTGTAGTCAGATATGTGCTTTCATCATTATCTGGAGACCAGCTGCTAATGATTCTTTGAATCTCAATGTTATCACTGTGGCTATCCTTGTCTGAATACCCCCTCATGTACAGGGAGGGATGGATGGGGCTGTATTCCAATTGGTTTGCCCAGTACAAAATGATTGCTGCAGATTCTGGTGTGATCAGTGATCTTGGGGAGGTCTTTTCTGTTGATGAGCTTCACCCACAGAGGTTGCCATTTGGGATGGCATAAGTGGAACTTTAGCTCAGGAACATGATCTTTGATTATCCATCTAAAATATCACAATATATATTTAATGTACACAAATAGCATAGTTTAGTTCATGTCTAAATCTGGTAAACATTCATTTAACCTCCATTTTACGATATGAGACTCAAGTAATGACATTAAAACATGAATGTATACCAATAAATTAACAACTAACTGAAATTATGTGTGTACTCAAACATAGCATGTTTTAATGGGTCAGTTTAGTCAAATGTGTGTCAACATGAGGGGGCATATTAACACATCCATTTTTTATTGAGATTGGGATTACATTACTGATTTGTGTTTTTATTGTAATACAGATTATGAACTTCTTACATGTTGACCCTGAAAAATATCCCCTATTATGATTAAAAAAACAAACTAAAACGAATACACCTAATTATTATATACTATTCGTTTCAGTTTTGTTTTGCAGAAATGGAACAGTGCAGTCTGCATGCAAGACTGCACTGAAATAGCAAACAAATGGATGGAGCTGGAGGTTTTTATTTGCAAATTCTGATTAACAGTACAGTTGCAGTTTTCAAAGAAACACTGCAAAAAAGGATAACACAAAAGTCCTTGGTTTATTTCCATTGTGCTCCCGTGAACCCAATTCATACGCACAGACAGACAGAACATACTTTATGTACAACTATTTACGGTACATGTATTTACTGTAATCTGACTGAAACTACTGGTAAACTGATTAAATTATTAACATAACGACAATAGCAATAATAAATGTAAACGACTCAAAATAAAAACTAGTGAAACATGTTCGTTTGTTTGAACACATCCACCCAGGAGAGAGAAGTTACTTAAAGTTGAGAACATTTAACAATAATTCTACGGACATATGCATTTAAACTTACTTGGATTTATATCGGCGATCATTGCTACACCCGTACACAGCACATCGATTGGATCCACCCATGGCTAGCGATACAAACGACGACGTTATTCCAAATAACAGGGAGACTCCATTGTTTACACACGTTGCGGTGCTTGCGGTGGACGCTTTCAATCCCAGAGTGCTTCGGTGCATACCCACAATGCATTGCGCGATGTCCAAGATGGCGGTATTTGCGTTATTTAACCAGGGCCGGGTTGTGGGGGCAGCAGGCTGAGCAAAGTACCCCAGATGTCCTTCTCCAACAGCAACACTTTCCAGCTCCTCCTGGAGGACCCCAAGGTGTTCCCAGGCCAGATGAGATATATAATCCCTCCAGTGTGTTCTGGGTCTGCCTCGGGTCCTCCTACCAGTGGGATGTACCTGGAACACCTCTAACAAGAGGATCCTGATCAGATGCCCGAACGACTTCAACTGACCCCTTTCCGACGTGAAGGAGCAGCGGCTCTATTCCGAGCTCCCTTCAGATGTCTGAGCTCCTCACCCTATCTCTAAGGCTGAGCCCAGACACCCTACAGAGGAAACTCATTTCAGCCGCTTGTATCCGTGACTTCTTTCTCTTGGTCACTACCCAGAGCTCATGACCATAGGTGAGGGTTGGGACGTAGATGGACCAGTAAATCGAAAACTTCACCTTCTGGCTCAGCTCCCTCTTCACCACGACGGTCCAGCGCAGCGCCTGCATCACTGCAGACACCGCACCAAATGCCCCATCCATTCAGTCTCATTTGAATGTGTTTTACTTTTATAACAGGCCACATGATACACAAAGTAGCTGCCCTCAGGTAAAAAGAAAGTTTGAGCAACTCTCCACTACTGAAAGCTTGCATACCCCCACTGATGTGAACCATGTACCATAGTTTGAGATCCAGTGACCTAAAGCTAACAACAAACATTTCTTAAGGAGGCAGGTGCTTTCAAAGCCTCAGTGGAGCTGAATGCTGAACAGTTGGAGTGTTCTGCATACATAAAATATTTCATATTGAAAACAGCTTCCAGCAGTTTGAAGTTAATTCTTTGCTGGCTGTATTTTACAGAGCTGGAGACACAAGTGGATTAGTTGTTTGTATTTACTTTCCATGACTGATTTGCATATTGTGTAACCCTGCTGTATGTTTTAAATCCATCCAAATCTCCATTTTTATTTGGCTGCAGACTTTTAAAAGGAAGTTTCTGCATAATGCAGGTGCAAAAAGTAAGAGAGGAGAAAAAACTGACTGCCTAAAACTTCAAATGCCGACTCATCCAGCAGCGTTTAGCTGTGTGATTCTGGAAGACTCACTGAGAGCCGCACCACATAATTCAAATATAATTTAGATGTTAATGTATGCATAAAAATATGAACTATACGACAGTAAGAGGGAAACAAGAAGGCAAAGAGAGGTGACACAGAAGGAGCTGATTTCACCTCCAACTGTGTCCATGAGACGGTGAGAAAATAAGAGACAGAGACATCAGTAGATTTTTCCATGACACCCAAAGGGGCAATAGATGATGACACATTGGTGACACACTGAGATTTTAACGAAAACAGAGGACACATACTGTACCATAGCAACACACACACGCACACACTCACCAGGCCTGAGGTTTCCTCTTGAGCAGGCCCTGTCTCCTCCACTGAGAGTGGGGGCTGAGATGATAGGTCAGCTGACGACAGACCTTCTCCATCGCCCCGAGAGAGTCGCCCTCCTGTCGGACACACAGAGACAGAAACGCACACACGATCAGTTCAGTTACAGACGACCGTCAGCTAATGAGAATAACCTTCTGCCGGGATTCAAAAGGACAAATTAGACATGTCTGTAACCAAGTGCTTACTGGCCATTTTATTAGGGACACCTGTTCAACTTCTAGTTAACATCTATATCTAACCAATCACGTGGCAGCAGCTCAATGCATTTAGGCATGTAAACATGGTCAAGACGACCTGCTGAAGTTCAAGTCACAGTGTCCTTTGACCTTTGAGTATCAAATTCTAATCACCTCATCCTTGACTCAAAGTGGATTGATTCATTCACCTCAAAATGGATGTTTGTGCCAAATTGGGAGAAAGTCCCTCATGGTGTTCTTGATATATCATGTTCCCAAGAATGAGACGGATGCAAGGTCACGGTGACCTTCCACCAACAAATCTAACCAAATCTAAAATTCTAATATAATTTATATTTAAGTTTAGGTGGATGTTTGTGCCAAATTGGGAGAAATTCTCTAAAAGTGCTCTTAAGATTTTGTGTTCACAATGTTACTGGATCACCCTTTTTCCTCCTTTAAGGGCAGTGGCCTTGTAGGTAACCTGTGAGGGCGTGACATGGGCTGTTGACACTAGCCGGTAAACTGTCACTATAAGAGGTAACAACAAGTTGTCAGCTGAAGGGTGAGGGGGCGATGACAGCACCACTCAAGAAAAGTGACATTATGAAATAAAACTTGACATGAAATGAAAGTGTTGTTGGGAAAAATGTCATCATGACATAAAAACAGACGTGTGAAATAAAGGGCATATTAAGAGGCAGTGTGACATTTAAAAAAAAATACAGTTATCAAAAACAATGATGGAAAAACATTCAATTATAATAATCTATTTAATTATTTCACAAATTGTCGCCTCATCAATATATATCTGCACAAGTTACTCATCTGATTATTTATTACATCTGGGTTACTCACAAAACAGAGGTACAAAGAGGGTGAATATTAGAGCTAAACTGCCAGACAGCTAACTCCAAATGAATGCTAATGTTTCTGTGTCTGCTGAACGTGAAACAAGGCAACTGTTTGCTCATATATCAGCAAAGACATCTGTAAGCTAGTTTTGATTCTGTCCTGTAATAACCAAAATCACTCAGTGCACTCACTATCACTAAGGTCGATACCTTGATACATAAACCTGGTAAATATATAATATCCGACAAAGCTGATCCACAACATGGATTACTGATCACTGGAAGGACAGTTTACTGTGTGAGTCCTACCTCTGGAAACAAGACATTCAAACCATGAGTTGTGACTGGCTTGACGTTTACTAGTTTACTATGTGACATAGATATGTGACAACAGCATTGGAAATGTAAAGGGATGTTTTCATGACACTGAAAAGCACACATGTAACTCATATCATTAATTATGAGCCAGCACATATCCGGACCAACACTTCTTCTTTCACTTGTATCCAGTTCAGTCTGCAACTTGGTAGAGGTCCAGACAACATTTTGGCTAACCCCTCTAAACATAAAAGCTAATAAAAAGCTAAATCGTCATCAGATGAAAGCAGATGGGTTCAGAGATTGAATTTAGGTCAATGTGTTCTCCCTCTTTTACTCTCCACAAAGACTGTTTACCTGCATGCAACCAAAGCCTGTTTAAACATCACTGGTCAACACTAGTGGCGCTACAAACGGACTACAAACAGAAACCTTCCTAATTTGTCCTGTAGGGGTCACTGTTCTGTCATGGGGCTTGTCAGTATAGGTAGGAACCATTCACTGAAGGACAAGTGTTGCAAGAAATCAGGTGTGCTGCTCAATGTATTGGTGAAAATTTGTACCATTGAATGGTTTATGGACACAGATGTGAAAAATAAGTGATGCATCAAAGAAGAAGAAGTGGGACTCTTTCTTTGACTTGTTTGTGATTGGCGACTTAAGGTGCGGACACACCAAACCGACATCAAAGAACTAGCGGCTACGAAAGCCAACTGTTGTGTCGTCTACGTTGCCTCACGTCGCCCTGTGTCAGTTGCATTTGAACACACTACACGGACTACATCCGATGGCCAAGTAGCACGTACATTCTGCGCCTGCATGAGAGAGAGCGGAGTGAGAGAGTGGTACATCCTGTCAGCCGAGGGGTTTCCTATCTGTGTAGCCGAGCACTGCAGCACCTCCATGGACTATTACATCCAGAGGGTCCCGGTGTTTCCTCCGCAGGCTCCACTTCACTCAGCTGCCCGATAAACTCGCTGCTTCTTCCCACTTTAACCTGAATAACAAACCAGGGCTCAGTGCTCCAGTTGGATCCAAACGGAGAGCTGGGGCTAGCTGGGAAGCTAGCGGAGGCTAATTTGCTGTGCTTCCCTCCGGTCATGCTGCGGCTAACGCTCCGCTAGCCGCTCCCAGCCAGTTTGTTATTCAGGTTAAAGTGGGAAGAAGCAGCGGGTCTGTCGGGCAGCTGAGTGAAGTGGAGCCTGAGGAGGAAGCACCAGTTAGCCCCGGTTTCACTACAGGCACATTCACTCGCTACAGGGGTGAGGAAATAAAACCTGAACAGCCAATCAGAGTGATCTCTCTCACCGACAAGCTCCGCCGCCGATTCAACATGCTCAATCAGCCGCTGGTGACGCCTAAGTGCCGACGGTGCGGGACACACCGCAAAAACTAGGGCGATAGACGCTCAGAGCAGCCAGCTACTTCCAGTTTAGCACTCTGCTAACTTGAGCAGGGATAAAATCATTTAATCTTGTTAATCTTTATAGCGGAACGAGACATTTCGTAGGGGTTGTGACACTCAAAAAAAATGTATCCATTGATTTACAAATGTCTCTCTTGCGGTGTAAGTCAATGGGAAAAAGTCTTCTTGGGCCCAATGGCATCAAGTGACAGACTGTAATTCCACTGTTTGGACACAATGAAAACTGGCGTCAGAGGATTTTATTCTGCATCAACCCTGTGTCGAAATGCGGGTGGTGCAAAACAATCTTTCAACGGACCTTAGTAGACGGTCAATCGTTCAGCACAAAGGGCAGCAGAAAAAGAACATAAATAAGTGACAGGTATGTATTTGCAGCAGGTGTGTGGTTCAGAGGAGTGAGGGGAACAGAGAGAGGAAATGTCATGTTGGACACAACATCAGCCAGAATAAGACAGAGCAGTGAAGTGTTACAGCAGCAACAGACAGGAGACAGATAATCAAAGGGTTTAAGGACCAGTGGAGCAAAGAATAAGCAAACACCTTCTGTCAAACTTAACTTTCTGATCTGACAGGACACACACGTTTACAGCATACACACACACACACACACTGTGAAGCTGGGGAATTCAACGCTACATGCTGCGTTGATTGCCTGTGTCCATAATCACTCTCCATTTCCCACCTGGTGCGCTGCGTTACATTCACTTCGCCATCAAGTGTCTGAACTGTACGTCTGTGCTCCGTGCAGTGCACTTAAACATGATTAAACATGAAATGAAAAATGTTCTGTACAAAGCATGTGCACGACCTTCTCACGATGAAATGGTTTTCCTCAGCACCCCCGATGACTGACATCTAAATTACAGTCATGAGAAACTACATTTTCTGGCCGTGACGCAAAATAACGGCAATTCATAAACGACCAACGTCTCAATTTACTACTCAGTGTAATGAACCCTCTGAGTTTCCATCATGTGGGGAGCAGTGAACGAGTTAGTGACGCACTGCCTCATCTCTACCCGCCTGACTCAATGTCATCACAACCCTCCACTGTACCAGAGCTGCCTGTGTGTGTGTGTGTGTGTGTGTGTGTGTGTGTGTGTGTGTGTGTTGAGGCTTCCACCCATATTGAAATGCATTTATTCAGGTGGTGAGTCAGGTTTGCAGGTCCCCAGTATCCAGTCTAAAACAGATGGTGAGGGGACGAAGTGCTATCAACAAAGACGTTCAGTTCCCTAAACTGTGAGGTACCACATTGTTGTTCAGGTGTGTGTGTGTGTGTGTGTGTGTGTGTGTGAAGGGCAGAAGTTGGATAGTAAAGCAGAAAAACAATTTTCTAGCAGACAGCCTTTGTGAAAGTGAATGAATTGATGCCCGGAGGGAAACAGAACGAGTTCTTCCACTTCTTTGGCTGTCGAATGATTTTTTTTCTCATTTTTCAAATTAAATGAAGCGACGATGATTCCCGCAGAGAAACTGTGAAGATGTTCTTGGAAATGTGTCTGTGTGGTCGGACGCTGCAGGAAAGAAAGAAGTCGAGGACACTTTGTATTTATTGTGTAAATACACATTTTTAGATTCATAGTGAAAGAACAGAGTTTCATAATTCTTCATATTCTCAGTAATCTTGTCTCAGTGTTTGGCTCTGCTGCGCTGCTAACTGTAACGTCTTTATTTTCCTTTAAAATATATATCTTGTATAAACTCTATCTTCTATACTCTACTGGTGGGAGTCAAAGATCTCACAGACAGAGGCCTCAGCCTGACGTTCCTAGTTCACCCTCACTGCACGTTTGGGTTTACCAGGTCTGTCCAGCAGCCTCCCCCGCCCGATGTAGAGTTGTGGAGCTAGAGAGACTGCCAAATCTATTCATTACCAAATATTGAACTTCCCACCCAACTGAATCAAAAGCTTTATCAGCATCTAATCTGAGCATAATAGAACTTAATTTATCGCTATTAATCTGCTCAATAATGTGTATCTTAGACTTAGACTTAGGCCCAATCCCAATACCCCCCTTGCCCACTACCCCTTAGCCCTCAAAATGAAGCAACGAGGGGTAGGGGTAGAAATCTTTCCCTAGGAACTGGGACGCCACTCACTGCGTCACTGCGTCGGTCACGTTCATGCTAGTCTCGCTCACCAGACCTTTGTCAAGAAAAGAAAGGTCTGGCTGGGCCGACTCTCACTTTAAGATTGGAAAAAAAAACGCCCCGGCTGCTTGTATTTCTTTCAACCAATCACAATCGTTCTGGGCGGTGCCACAGCAACTGTGCGCTTACAAAAATATTGCGGGGGGTGGGACAGGTTTTGGTGTAACACTCCCACAAAAATATCACCTACAGGACGTGAACCATGGCAGAAAAATGGCTACATCCACGCAAGATCAAACACCGCAAAAGTTAGTAAAGGACGTGTTGAAAACTGCAACCGGAGGTGGTAGGGCGGGACTTCAGCGGGTGGCTCGTTCCGCCCAATGAGAGGCTGATCTATGCAGCGAACTTCCGTCCACTCAGACTACGTTCGCGCATACGTAACTATTTTAAACAGGAAGCTGCGAGCCATCTACATTTCTAACTCTCTATAATAGAGTCTCCGGTTGAGTTCATCCTACCTATCCTGTTTGCTGCATTCATCATGCTTCGTTTGATGAACGACAGACGACAGGGGACTTCTGCTAGCTAGCTAACCAGCTAACATTATGAGGCAGCATAGTTACACTAACTGCCGTGTTATCGTAATGTCAAAAGTCCGACAATTTTGCATTTTCCCCATGTGTATGTGTGCGTATGATTCATAGGTACAACTCGTTTTAAAATTGGTTCAGTATTGAGGGAGGCGAATGAAGCCGGGAGCTGCGAAACGAGCTAATACGGTAACGGGGGCAAATGCATCCCGTATAAGTTTGTGCATTAAAAGTGTTTTTTTTCGCCACTGACCGGTTCAGATCGCCAGTGTTATCTCTGTAAATAGCATACTAAGCTTTTCCCTTACCTCTGGCCTGTGTGACGTCATCTCGCGAGACCTTTGCTCCACTGTGTCTGTAGCTCTCTCTACTCGTGGGACAGCCATTTTCTTGAGGAAGAGGTGTTTCGGGATTGGATGTCTTCTCTTCTTCGGCTGGCAGTAGTCATCTTGGGAGAAGTGAGACCCGATGGTCTGCAAGGCGCAGCATCTGGACAGGAGTGTTAGCATCCATTTGTAGCACAACTAGCCACAACTTCAGCATCTCGCCGTCTGACAAAGGCAGCCTTTGAAAGCTGTACTGGGTGTTGCGCTACATCCTGTTCTTGCAATTCGGATAAGCACAAACACGAACCATTGTTTTCAATCGATGCAGTAAAACTCTCAGCTGTACTCCGGGACAACCAGCGTCACTCTGAGCAGCGCTCTGCATGGCTCCTCTGTTTTCTTCCAGCAACAAGCAAAGCTCTTGTGAGATGATGTCACACAGCTCACAGGAAGTGAAGGGTCAGGGAAACTCTTAGTATGCTATTTACAGAGATAACACTGGTGATCTGAACTGGTCAGTGGCGAAAAAAAGCTCTTTTAATGTGCAAACTTATACGGGACGCATCTGCCCCCATATCTACCTCACGACTGCCGGCTGCATCCACCTCCCTCAATACTGAACCAATTTTAAAACGAGTTGTACCTATGAATCATACGCACACATACACATGGGGAAATAGAGCCCAGGTTGAAAAATACCGATTTTAATCTTAAATCACCTAAATCATCTTTTTCTGCCGTGACACCTGCAATAAACCAAAGTCCTTGTCTACATGTACACGTGGTGCATTCAATTTCTTATTCTGATGTCACTTCCTGTGTTCCCATAATACCTTTCTGCTGTTTTAGATTTTCTCTTAAAGGCTTGAGAAAGTCCTTTAGCTCCTGGTCCGCTGAAAACCTTTTAAAAGACAGTGGATAAACTCAAATACGCATGAATGTCAAGCTGAAAATAAAATGTGGCTGCAGAAACACTGACGTCCCAAGGTTTTCATTACACACAGATATTATATTCTTCTAAATATATAATAATATGATTACAGCAGACACATTTAGGAGTAAATATTTTGATACTTTAATAATATTTTAGTTTTTAGAGAAACATTTTGGTGCAACATCTCTGTTTCTTGTTTATCTGTGCAGAGATGTATTGATGTTTTGGTAACGTACACTAAAGAGAAGTCTTGTCATGTCAGCGAGGCTTCATGAAGTGGATTGTGTTGAATGAGAAAAGGCTCGGGTCGATGACGAGCAGCTGCAGCATCCGGTCATGGCCTCATGGTTTCACTTCTTCTCTCTTCATGTCCCTGTTTCTCCTCCTTTGTTTGTTTTGTTCCTCTCTCCTCCTCCTCTGTTGACCTGCCTTTGTCTCTCCCGCCCTCCCCTCCTCTCTCTCATTACATTATTGATACTGAACACATCTATGAATCTTTGCGGTCTCCAGAGAACTCGTGACCTCTCCTCTGTCTCCATCCCTCTGTCTTATTTATCTGTCTGCTTCATCTCTGGTCCTCCCCTCAGGCCAGCCTGCTGATAAACTTATTTTGCTCGGTACAAATGGAGCCATTACTTCAGAGCTATTTTTCACTGCATGCTCTGGTAAATTACGGAAAAACTCTTTATCCATTCTGCAGATAAATTGTTTGGATGAATAAATCATATTGCTCTCGTTTCAGTGGTCAGGAGGTGCAGGGGGACACCTGGCAGACAGCTGACTCACTGTCATGGCTGTATGTCAGGTTTATGTTCTTGACAGGGGCGTCGATAACACACACTGATGTCTGCTGTGTTTTTGGAGGGTTGGTGTGAGATATACAGTTGGTTCGTGTTCTCACAGCAGCATTTACAAGAGGACCAGATCAAATGCCTTGTGTGAGAAAGCTGCTCTTGATTGGTCAGAATTTCCATGTGGGAAAAATCCAGGAAGTAAAGCAAATGTTGAAGAAGAGTACACTTGCAAGATAAATGTGACACTTTCTAATGTCACAATGGAGGGACAACTACGCAGGTTGATTTTAGCGCTGCTCATCGTGGACTATATTGCTGTCATTGTTCATTTTAGTCAAACCATACAGTTTGAAAACGAGGCGCGGCTCCAACTAGAAAACAATGTTTTGATGCATTGGATGTGCTGAATGTGCATATTAAGGCAGTACAGGAGGAGGTGCACATTAATAATCCTCCAGGACTGTAACATGCTCATGTTTAACCCAAACATTGTGTCATGTGACTGCCTGCCTCCCTGATGCCGAACAGCGTCGGGGATGCACTGATTTGTAACGTCATGCTGCTTTATTCAGAGTTTAAATCACCTGGTCTGTTTGTTTTGGAGAAGAAGAGACCTCTGTGGATAATTCAGCTCCCTATAAAAACCTCCTGAACAATGAACCCTGAATGAATTCTAACCAGGAGAAGTTTTAGCTGGTTGCAATTCACCGCTACACGACACCAAATCCTCCTTAATCTTGCACACTTCACCTTTAAATCCTGAAGCCAATGCACTTCTGCCACATGACCTTCACAGACGCTGTGTAGCAGAGCTGGACCGAGCTGATTCGCTCATATCTGAAGTGTAATGAACTGTCACTAACAGCAGGGCCAAACACAAACACTGTGTTTTGGGCCGAGTAAAGCAGAGCAGTGAGCAGAGGGATTCACACGGACGGATGGATGGAATGACACAGAAGATAAGTGAGAAACAGAGAGGACTTAAAGGCTGCAGAGAGGAGACAGAGGAGGTGTGGGATAGGAAGAATAGCAGAGAGAATCACGGCAGCTGCAGTGACAAAGCAGCAAAGTTTCTCAGCTGCTGTATAGATTCCCTGCTTAGCTGCAGTCACACTGCACTGATTAGACCTTTCACAGACTCTGTGGAGGCTGCTGTGTGTCTGTGTGAGACCCAGGAGGGACGTGTGTGAGTGTGAGTGTGAGTGTGAGTGTGAGGGGGAAAGTGAAAAGAAGAAGAAACTGCATATGAGCACGTCTGCATTTATCTGTACGTGTGCATGTGTGTTTTTATGTGTGAATGTTTGCCAGAGTGATTAGGTGTTTTATAAAGGGAGAACGTGCATGAGCAACTGTGTGTGAGCATTAGTGAGTACACAAAGCTAGCCACGTTAGCCATGTTAGCTCTGAGCAGGCTGTTGCTCTTCTCATCTCCTCCACCCTCTGGCTTGTGACCCAAAAATTTAATCTCAGTGCTCCATCTTGAAGGACGTCGCAGGTCCTTAAATGCATCTCGTGTCATGACCTGTCAAGCTCCCTGAGTTCATGTTTATTTGTCATCCCTGTGTTTCCTGTTTTATTTTGGTAACCACTGTCTCATCTCATTTCAGATCCAGCTTCCTGTCAAGTTTCACGTGCAGTAAGAGCCTGTTTTCTGCAGTTCTTCATCAACATCTCACTGTGGCTGTTTCTGCTTTCACTCTTCCTCCCTGCCGTATTATCAGACTTGTCTTTATTGAAGAAAAGCCGCTAACAAAGTTCTGCTAATTCAGTGATAAACACATTTCATTTCCTGCAGATTCTACACAATAAAAGTCCCCCGTTTGTTACGTAAAAACTTTACTTGTGAAGCAGTAAAATAAGGTAATTTTGAGTTTTCAAGCAGCAACTTCACACAACTTCTGATACAGCTGATAGTGAACATGAAACAGTAAAATAAAGCAGATATCTAAAAAGAGAAACTAAACTCCAAACCACAGAGATTCAGTTAGAAGCTACAGACGTACTGAGAGCTGAACACACAGAGACTTTTAAAAACTCCTTTCTCTCTGGTCTCCTGCAGACAGAGGTGAGGAGAGTCTCATAACACACACGACTTGTTTGGGGAGAGAACAGGGGTCATTGAGGGTCTGCGAGACGTCACCTCTACCTGCTGGAGGGCAAGGTCCATCTATGGAGCAGCTCGACCTGGCCCGGCGTGTCTAAACTGATAATGGAAAATCAAATCGGCGTGGCCAAAAGTGACAGAGGTAAAGGCCCATTACTCTCCTGTTGTATAGAAATCTCCCCTCAGTCTACACTGTGTCCATGGACGACACACACATATACTTTGTTCTTCTTCTACATAATAAAATAATGACGTTATATAAAAGAAACGTCCAGGAAATCCACTCCAACAACTCAACACAGCGTGGTTTTATTAAGATCAATATTTCACGTTCTTACACTGACCTTTAATTAAAAGACAGTTTTGCTCTTATTTGATTGGATGATGGAGATAATGCAGTTTGATTGATTTCATATTTACTATAGAATCGATCGATACCACCCGGGCTGGAACTCAAACTGGATTGACTGTAATCTAATTACAAACAAGTGTGTTTTATTATTGATAGAAGCAGCATCATCCAGGGATTCACTGGAGTGAGTTTTATGAATGATGTGTGTGTAATATTGCAACAAATAAATAAAATGACTGGAAGATATTGAAATATAGAAAACAGTTGCTGTTTGTGGCATATAGTGACTTTTTTTAGCAGTGTCGTGCACAGACATTTTGCAGGGCAGGTACTCAAGTGGAAAAAGGGCATCTGGCATATTTTTATTTTATTTCATTCTATTTTATTTCATATTATTTTATTTTATCATATTTTATTTTATTTTTTCTAGTGTGCAAAGTGCTGGTGCAAAGAAAAAAAAATCATTTAATCAATTTTAAAAAATTTTGCACATGCAAAGTGGTTTTTACCTGCCCTGAAAAACGCTTTGAATTATTAAAATAATAAATCAACCAATCAACCCTCCAAACTACAAAACAGGACTGTGTTCAGCTGCAACAATCAGGCTAAGTGCGTTCTCCTCTCCTCTCCTCTCAAAGGAAATCCTTTTCTTTGCTCTCCTCTTCTCAAGTAGTTCTCCTCCTCTCCTCCTTCTGTTCTCCTACTTTCTTTTTTAAATAGTCAATTTATCTTCTGAATAAGTTTTAAATATTCTTAAAGAATCCCAAAGAACAGACGCATGCACCCCGCACTCCTCCTCTTCTCCTCTGCGCTCCTTACGTAGCCCTGAACTGCATGTCATTTTTGTTTTAATTCATTATCTGAGACGAGACATAGAAGATGTAAACATAATTTCAAATTGAGTTTTGGTTTAAAAAGACGTGTTGAAGGGGGAAAGCAATTCAGCATCTGTTGCTGCTCATGCTGGGCAGTTGGTGAACCCGAATCTGCCAGATTGTTGAAGGGAGACGGTGTGATTTTATGCCAAAATATCTTACTTGTTGTTAAGCTTAAAGGGATAGTGCACCCAAAAATGAAAATTCAGCCATTATCTACTCACCCATATGCCGAGGGAGACTCAGGTGAAGTTTTAGAGTCCTCACATCACTTGCAGAGATCCAAGGGGAGAGGAGGTAGCAACACAACTCCACCTAATGGAGGCTGATGGCTCCCCAGATTCAAACGTCCAAAAACACATAATTGAAACCACAAAGTATCTCCATACTGCTCGTCCGTAGTGATCCAAGTGTCCTGAAGCCCCGACATAAAAAGTTGTTTGGAAAAACGTCATTTGAACTCTGTTTTTAGCCTCATTGGAGCCTGTAGCTCTGACTGCCTCTCTGTGCACCACACTCGTGTGCATGCTTGCGTGAGACCGTAAGACATGGGCACCGCATTCATGTGTGTTCACATGCTTTCGTTGGTCTCGCGCACAAGTCCGTAAGTGTTGTGAGGACTCTAAAACTTCACCTGAGCCTCCATTGGCATATGGCTGAATTTTCATTTTTGGGTGCACTATCCCTTTAATGTTGAGTTATTGCCTAAATTAGACCGGCTGTATTGAGATGTTTTAATATGGGTTTAATTTCACAGCAGTGACAAACAATGCTGAGGCTGAGGCCAAACACCATTGTTACCTGGCTGTCCATGACGGGAGGTCAGGGAGACGTAATGCTGCTCTGCAAGGCGCTAGTGTGTGGCTGACACAAGGGAAGTTCAAGAGGAAGGGGCCGGGACTCAACTTAAATGCAGCTGTCGGGCACACAGTACACTTTAAACTAAGAATTGATGCCATGCTGCAAATTTTAAAAATAAATAAAAATTATAAAATTACTGAATGAATTAGAAAACCACCTTGGGTCGATCTGTGCTCGTGCCTGATTTTTAGTGATCCACTGAGTAAACTGTGATTATCTTTTTATTTCTCCCTCTCCTTCTATTTCCCTGAACGATGCATGCACGTACTGTAGCTCAGAGGAGATTAGCGCCGATGTAATGAATGATTATATTTCTATTTATGCACCGTCATACATCAATCTATTAACCCTGCGTCTGACTAACCAGGTTTTTCAGTCCCTTTGTTTATTTGTGGAAAGGTGTTATTAATCCTCCAGCCGTGTTTATATTAATCAGACAAATTACTCAGGCTGTGAGCTCAGTGAGGTTCATTCAATTAGTTCTCTGCTTTCTGGACTGACCGAAACACACGAGACTAAAAGAGGACATCCATTTAAAGTCGTGGTATGCATTCTGTCACAGCGTACTGACTGAATGTCCACGACCACAGCTGTATGAAATAACACAGTGGCAGGTTACATACCCAGACCTGCCTCATGCTGTGCCAGCTCTGGAGGAAGGTCTAACTAAACACCGTATAATTCGCACAAAGGGAAAAAACGCTCTGGGGTGTGTGTATTTCTGGAAACAGATCACAATTGTCTTGGGCAGCGCCAGGCCCACGAGGCAGTGAGGGAATTTGTTTTGGTGGAACATTTGCACATAGGGAGGCAACTCTGGCATTGACGTGTCTAAATCTCTACAAAACAAAACTGGACATAAAACATTACACTGTAAGAAATCCGACGGCCTGCCCTCAAACTCTTCTTAGACGATTTTTGATGATTATGATATGTAAAACAGCTGCTGTATTTATTGTTGTTTCAACAGTTTAGTCATGTGACCTATCATTAGAAAGCTACACTCCTTGCAGTGCCATTAATGCGGACTATTTTGCCATACAGCCACCACAGCAGGTTCAATAAATGCTTCTGTCAGACAAACAACAAACAAATAAACAGTTATATCTCACCTATGAAGTCTCATCATAATCCACAGACCAAATCACTATTTACACAGCTACCACTTCAAGTCTCATGCACTTTCTGAGGTTCAGACGATCTAAATCCAGCAAAATATTTAGTCCAACACATTATTACATCCATAGATCTCCATTAACTACTGTTGCATCATTTCAAATGTTCATATTTCTCTAGCTGTTATTCATATTATCTGCAGTTCTGCATTTAAACAAACTGACTGTGGGCTGCCATGATGGAGGTGAACTCCTGACCTTTTGATTGACACCTCACTCGAGCCAATGGGAGCTTCCAATGCTGTTGATATGGCCTCCATAGCCAATGAGGGCCTGAATTTCACTTTTGTTTTCACAGGAAATGTACAGTTTGCGTACAGTCTCTTTCAAAATAAAAGCACTATGTCGGTACAACACAGCAAATTTACTTTTTCTTCCTTCAACAACAAAAGCACGTGGTTAGGTTTAGGAAAAAAGAACAGTGTTTGGCTAAACAATCTTACAGGAAGCAAACACTGCTCCCCTCCCACCTGCCCAACTCGGACTTTCGCTGCCTATATTTTCGTTCTTGTCCTGCCATGTTTCCCCCGGACGCTGCCAGGAACCATTAAACTATCACAGCAACGGGCCGAGTGTCATGCCTACATGAAAGGACAGCTTTTTTTGTTGGTGTCTGACACCACAAGTCACTGCCCAAGCAGATTTCGATGACTTCGGAGGGAAACCTGGTTGCTAAATCTGACACACTTAACCTTTAATCGAGTAGAAAACTAGATTGACCTCCTGACGACAGACTGAAGTCTGACTGAGTTTTGTTTTTTTGTCTTTAAATTACCGCATGACCTCACCAGTAACAGGATTGCAAATATTCAATGACTGTGTCCAAATCATGACATTTTTAGGGCTGTCAAAATAATGTGTTAATTTTGATTAATCACAGAGAAAATAATGTGTTAAAGTAATTAACGCTGATTAATTGTGTTCCGACTGACTCTTTCTGCCTGTTGATATATTGGATACTTTTGCCTGTGTACCTACCCGAGCCTGATTAAAGACCCTGAACTTTTGTCTGAGTCTGTGAGTCTGCTTTGTGAATCCTTTTTCCAGTTTGTGCTTGACATCTCTAGGAGCGAGGAGGCTTGGTGAAAGAGCTATAAGTCAGGATACACTGGTTTATCCTTTGTGGAAGACTTTGTGGCTTTATCACATGATGGAGACAGACGAGACAACGCTGCTCAGCCCCGTGAATGGAACATTTACACTTAAAAAACACCTAGATGGAACTGTTGATAGGAGCAGTGTTGTCTGCAGTTTCTGCAGTGAGGAATTTTTGTACCATCGGAGAACTTAAAGGGAAATTTCGGTTTATTTCAACCTGTCTCCTATCGTCCTAAATTTGTTTCAAGTGACTAGTGACATAAAAATAATAGTTAGCATGTTAGCCGTTAGCCTAGATACAGCCGGGGCACATAGTAGCATCAGACCTGTTAAAACGTAAGTGAACGGGCAACCTTCAAGTGCAAAGTTAGTCCACTAAACAAGCTTTTTTTTCCACAAAGACCACCTCATATCGTTAGGATAAATGTCAGAGAACATATAGAAATGACATGTAAACGTGTTGTCTTACCTTACTGGTGTGCTGCCATGTTTGTTTACCATCTAGCTCTGCTTTCCAAAGCACGGCCGAAATATCACGAGAACAAGCAGCGATCTCATAGTGTGCCTGAACAAGCAGCAACAGCTGGAAGGACACACTGACGAAGAGCTTCGTGAAATTGAAGAACGGAGGAGGAGAGAGAGAGAGGCACAACAGGTAGAGGACGAGAGAGGAGGAATGGCTGCTGCAAGGCTGCGTAGCTCTGGAGATTGGTGGTGTACCTGTGAATGCTGTGCCCCAGTGCCCACAGAAGAGGAATGCCTCTGTTGCAAGGAATGGGACCAGTTGCAGCCTTATTTTCAAGGTCTGGATGTGACCGAGGACGAGACACCTCCACCTGGAGTAGTATCCAGCTGGGCTTTATCTAGAGCTCGC